TCAAGTAGAAGAGCTATCCAGGAATCTAGTACAGTGGATGTTTTTGGTTTGCATTTAGGCAAAGCAAAGGAAAGAGTAAGCTGACAAAGAAAAGCCTGAACAGTAGAGAAGAATGAATCCTTGAGAGTGGGGATGACCTAACATTCCTTACATTGTCAGGTCTAGGAACCTTGTGGGACCAGACACTCACAAGCCTACCATGACTATTTCATAACCAGCCTGGAAGGGGCCAAAGCATCAGATTTCCTCTGATGAATATGGAAAAGCATCATGAGAAAGGTAGGATTTTTCAGAGTTATTTCATATTATGGCAGAAGTTTGGTTGGCTGATAGAATGTTCTAGAACTGACTCAGTGAGGAAAAAAGTAGTGGGGGGCTTCGCACAGCTGATAAGGACAAGGGGAACGATATCATTAAACAATGTGTTTTGACCAATGTGCTAGTATTTCTTTAAAACCTAGCTCTCAAATTTAAAAAAAATCTTGATTTCTACAGTTTGTTAAAAACAACAACAGCAATAACAACTATACTCTTTCCATGAGAAATATCTTCTCATAGCAGATTTCAGATTTTGAGGTGCCAACCTGATGTCCCTGAAAGCAGTCTTCAAAAGCAACTCTCATCACCAACACATCATCTTGCTGACCTAAGTTTATCAAGAGGGCCTTTTCTCATAAAAATCCATTGGAGCTAGTGTGAAGGCAAAGAGGTTTAGTTTTCTTTTCTAAGTTAAATGTCATGTCACAGGATCACTTGTATTTTTGGTACGACATGTTGTCGCATGTGGAAGAAAGAATGGCTAATTTGCTAGCAATTTGAGAGGTCAGCTTCTGGGTGGTCAGAATATGAACTACCTCAGAGAGGGTTGTGTATTTGTGATCAGTGCTCCTATGGAGGAATTCTGTGTGATTCCTTCCTGGGAAAATGGGGCTAGATCTGCCTACAGGTAAGATTAAAAAACAAACAATAGAGTAATTGTCATTCTTTCCATTTGCATACATCTCCATGGGTTACAAAGGGCTTCTTACTTGATGGTAACTTTTCATGTATGGAGTTTCTAGTTGTTCATTAAGACATGGATAGGTTGTTAATACTCGTGTTTCTAGGTCATTTTTGCACACATGGATGATTGATTTGAAGTGCATCTCCCCAGTTCTCTGCACATGGAGATGTCCATGAAGCACTGTCAGGAGAAAGAACCTTCCTTTCATTCATGCCTGGCTCTGGGCCAAGTCTGGACTAAGCACTTTCCTTACATTGTTTCTGAAGCCACCCAACAATCCTGTAAAGTAGCTGTCTTTGTTCTCTTCTGGTTTATAAATACAGTGAGCCAAAGGTCAAGAAAAAATACTGTTAAATATCTGAGCTGGGACACAAACCAGGACTGGCACCTAAAACCTAGATTAAAAATCTCTAAACTGACTCAGGTCAAAGGTTTTAATAAAATTCTAGATGTTTAATGTGCTAAGTGGACAGGATGAGCTAGCCTAACGGCGGGGGGGGGGGGGGGGGGCGAGGGGGGGGAGTGAGAGGGGGTAACTGGTGAACCTTGGGGGAGGGGGCCCATGACAAGGGTGATAGAAAAAGAATGTGTGCACATGCTGTCATGCTGAATTGGGTAACTTAAGAAGGCCATGTATTTGTAATTGGCTCTTTCTGTGTAAAGCACCAGCCTGAATTAGGTCAGCCATTCAGAGTGTCCTCTGCTGCACCCATTGTAGGCTGTGGCCCCCTTTACATAAACTGTAAATTCCATCAGAGCTGAGCTAACCAGACATCAACTGCATTCATGTTGCTGAATATCTACAGTTCCTTGGTAGTGTTTGACATAGTGTCTGAGAATATTTGTTGAATTGATTATTTGATTTGGCTGGTGGCAAGGAAAGTAAACCCTCAGAGTAACAGCAACGTATGTTCACCATGCACCATCTCATTTAATCCTCCCAGTAACTTTATGAAATAGATGCTATCCTCTCTAATCTATAGGTAAGAAAACCCATGTCTGAGAGAGAGTGAGCTTGTAACTTGTTTGAGAACACAATCATGAGTGGCAGGAAATTAGCTTTGCCTGATACCTTAACACTAGACAATGATCTGTTATTTTATGATGCATCTGTTACTTCACTAAGAAAACTCAAGGTCTTTGAACTAGATGATAGAATTTAACTTCTGTAAAGGAAAGTACTCATTTTGTATTAGCTGTATGCTCTGTGTCTAGAACAATCTTGTAAAAAATTTGGCATAAATATAGACTGTAATGAATAGGACAATTATTTCAGTAAGAGTAGGAGTTATAAGCTAGAAAATTTCAGGCTCACAATATATAAATTTTGCATGAATTTTAGTGAGGATAAAGGCATAAAACTTTACTAAATCTTACTAAAGAAATTCAGTGACCTATCCACTCAAGAAACATTTATTTCCATTCAACAAATACAATTAAGCATCTACAAACTGGCAGGCACTTATTATTGAGAATATAATGAAAGTATTTGACAATGATAACTCAACAAATGCTGTAAAATAACATAGATCATGAAAACAACAGTAAAACGTTGTGGGAACAGAAATTAGTATTAGAAGTAGGAACCATGGTGTGGTCATAAAATGTCTCAAAGAAAATAGGAATAATGTAGAAGTTACATAATGCCTAAAATAGGAAGAAAGACATGGGGAATAGTATGGGGGCAGTGCCAGATGCTTTGGGGAAATATTTGATGTATGGAAGAATGGATCAATAAGTCCTCCGAGGATTAGTCCGTATGACCCTTTATGGTGCCAGCATTGCACAATCTGACATTTACCGTGTATACACCGTCAATGGCATGTTTCCGTCTTGGTTTTAGTTGGAGGAGCTCATTGCTCATTGCTCATAGGAAAAAGAAAAGAAAAAAAATCATAGCATAGAAACATGGAAGGCTACTTTATGAAAGAAAATCTATCTCATTTGGCTTCTCAGAACTTGAGTCTTTTTGAATAAATGGAGGAAGAATTTGGGGAGACTTGAGAAAAGGAAATTTTAGTAGCCCTACAGTATGGATTTATGGGAAGGACATTTCTGCCATTGGTTACAGTGGAAAATTCCTCTATCTCAGCTTGGCCAATAAACCCAACCTTATTTGATTCATCACAAGCCTCTGTTCCAATCCAAGCTGTGTTTTAGGGAAACGAGACCATTTGCCATCCTATCCCAAGGCCTGCTGCCATAACCTATGGTTGTTCCAACTGAAGATGACCAATCTTCTTATCACTTTAACACACAAAGAAATGAGCTTGGATTTTGCCCTTCTTTTCCCTTCCACTAAATACCAGTCTCCAAGAGAAACGAGACTGTGAACCTACACACAATGAAGTCTTGATGCCTGAGTCACACACACAGATCATCATACAGAAGAGCCAAGCAAGATAAGGAAAACTAAAATGGATTCATCAACTTGCCCTGGTCTTGATCTATTTCTTAAATCTCTCATACAGATTTTGGACAAATATGTTAGATTTTACCGTTAGATGAAGATTAAAATGAGAGCTACTGGAAGCCGAATTTTTCTCTCCAAAATTACATCAAGAAATACCTCTACTCTCTCTTCCCTGGGAAATGCAAGTCACTTTCTGAACGTAGAGACAAATGCCGTTTTCCACCTGTCAGAAGCATCTAATTCTTCTTGGCAATCGAATGGCAATTCCCAACCTCCATTAAGGACTTGTTTTTCCCATTTTTTTTGAACTTCAAATACTTCCTAAATTGTGTTAGCCGAAGCATTGTATGTATATAATTAACTTCCAGGTCCCTCTGGGCTCATCCAGCTAAACTCATGAAACTCAACTGAGCAAGACTTTTCGCTGATGTTACAGTGACACCCACTGAAATGAACACCTTCTACAACAGGAAACCAGGGATATATCTTTTCTTTTCTTTTCTTCCAAATTGGCTTTCTAGCAATTTGGGTTTGCTTCATTAAATGATTTGGGTTGTTTCATAACAATAATGATCTCATTTTCTTTCAAATGCAGGATTTGCAATTTAGGAAAATGTGAGGGGGTGAGGGGGAGGGAAGGAAGTCTTTATTTTCCTTGTGGTTGAAGTAAGAAGACAGGCCTTAAACACTGCGCTCATTGGACTCGTGCAAGTCCCTCGGTGTAGCAGGCGTTCTCTGTGGGCCCAGGGCTCCCTCAGGCTTCAACATGCCTTCCTTATTGAGGACAAGCAGAAGGCGTTCCTGCACCAGCGGAAAGGAACCGAGGAGCCACACAGCTGTTAGTTCAAGGTGTAAGGGCGAAGGAGAGGAGACCTCTTCCGAATGCATGCGTATACCCACCAGATCCCAACTCATCTCCAGCTCAACCGTGTGCTCGCCTCGGCCTGTGCACCTCTGCTGAACGCAGCAGCTACCTTCAGTGAGATGTTCACACTCTGGAATTGTTTATGATTGCAGTTGGGAAGTTCCGCTACCCCACCCCACCCCCCATCTCCATTCTACTCTGGCACCGAGGCTAAGATGGGATCAGCCTTTCTTTCCACTGTCTGCACCCTTTCTGCGGCGTCGAGTTCCAGGCCTGGCCCTTTTTCATCCACAGGGGACCCCAATGCGTCCTATAGGGATGAGCAAATAAATGAGACTTCGAGCCTATCCCAAAGGAGTCTGTTTCTCCGCGCCCCCACCCCCGACCCCGGAGGTGCAAGGTGTCCCGAGAAAGGCAGCTGAGCGATTGGGAAGGGGTGGTGATTGAGGGCTACCTAGACGCAGCCCCGAGCTGCCTGACGTCTCTGTGGGTCTGGGGCACATGCAAGCTAGCTCCCATTGCTGCCCAGGGGCCGGTTCGCGGCTGCGTGCGCCCCAGTGCCGCAGCAAGCCGCCGCAGCCGCTGCCCAGGCCACCACGGCGGCTGGGGGCCGAGTCCCAGGGCTGCTGACGCGGCTGGGAGGAGCCTCGCCTTGAATGCACCAGCCGCCTCCAGATCCTGCAGCGCGAGCAGCAGCAGCAGCAACAGCAGCAGCAGCAGCGGCAGTAGCAGCAGCAGCCGCGGCGGCGGCGAGTGCGCGCGTGCGGGTGAGGGCGAGTGCGCTGGCGCCGGCCGCAGCGCCCTGCCCAGCTCCCCGCCGGCGTCCCCGGCCCCCCGCCCGCCGGAGCCGCCCTCCCGCGGGACCCGCACCCGCATCCCCACCAGGCCAGCCCGGATCCTGCCCCTGCCATCGCGCCACTGCAGCCTGCGTCCGGAGAGGCACCATTTTGTCGCGGCTGCCCGATCTTCCCCGGGCCAGGCGGGATCTCGATTTTGATTTCTGATATTTCCTTTTCGCCGTTCGGAGCGGCTGCCAACCACAGGAACCTGTTGGGCATCTCGTGAGCCTGGCTGGTGAGCGCCTCCCGGGCGGGCGGACGGGCGGGACCCGACCCCTCGGGGCACCGCGCATCTCGGCACCCGGAGGCGGCGCGGGCAGGCGCAGCCGCATCTTCGCTGGGAATTGGAGCTGAAGTGAGCGCACGGCGCGCGGGAGGAGCCGCCGCAGCCTCGGAGAGCCCGAGCGGAGGAGGCTGACAGCTCCCTGGCCGGGTTTTTATCTTTATTTTTCTCTCTCTCCGCCTCCCCGTCTCCTCCTCAGGCTCGGACCATGGTGCAGTCCCACCGGCTCCCCTGCCCCCCTCTCCTGTGAGGCTGGCTGCGGGGAGGGATCATGGATACTTGTCTGCCGGCTTCTGGTTCCCACGCAAGTAAGCCTGCTGTCAATGGAGGAGGACATTGATACCCGCAAAATCAACAACAGTTTCCTGCGCGACCACAGCTATGCGACCGAAGGTAACGCCGCCAGCCCGGCCGCATTCCGCCGCTGGGGCCGGGTTGCAAGTTGCGGATCGCTGTGGGTTGCGCTTTGGGCAGCTCCGGGGCTCAGGGGCCCGGACTCCGCTTAGGGCCCTGGGGCTGGGGCGGGGCCCCGGGCTCGGTTCTCCTGGCAGCTGCCAGGGCGCCGCACCTCCAGCCGGACTCTGCCAGGCGAGCCCAGCCTTCAGCAGCAGGTGGACCCGGCGCCCCGGGGAGTTACCAGGGCCCTAAGGGATTAGGCTTTTCAGGGCGCGGCTCCCTGCCAGACCGATGGTCCTGGGCAGGCAAATAAACCTCGCCCTAAGATACTCCCAGTGAGGCTTGGAGGAAGAGAAGAAGGGAAGGGGTCCACTCGGACCCTCCCCGAGCGCGGCGAGGTCGTGTCTCCGCGGTTTGCAGGGAGGGCATGGTTTCATTTCCTGCCCCTTCTCCTATCTAGCTCTCTCTGGCTCCAGGTCACCTGCTCAGACAATCGAACCCCCAAAAGGCCCTTCGCAAAAGGGCGAGTCCCTTCCTACTCCACCACCCCCCTTGCAAGTAAATGAGCAAGAAATTAAAAGAAGAAGGGGGGGGGGGAAGGTAGCTGGGGAAATGGTGTTCCAGCGGCGAGTGAACAAGGCTGACACGTGCGGCGAGCTACGCGATCGGTGGGGCCTTTAAAATCACCATTATGAATTCTGCAGCAGTAGTTTCTGCTGAATCAACAACCAGCAGAAAGCGAGAGGTTCAGCAAACTGAGCTTTGCCAAGAGGTGGAATTGTCCTCTCTCTCTCTCTCTCTCTCTCTCTCTCTCTCTCTCTCTCTCTCTCTCTCTCTCTCTCTCTCTCTCTCTCCCTCTCTCTCTCTCTCTCTCTCTCTCTCTCTCTCCCTCTCTCCCTCTCCCTCCCCGCCCTCTCTCTCTCCACCAGCTTGTTCTGACATTAGCAGGAGTGCTGTGCAGGCAGGCAGGGAAAGAAAAGTCAGCAGGTGGATCTCGTTCTGTGTGTGTGTGTGTGTGTGTGTGTGTGTGTGTGTGTGTGTGCACGCGCGCGCGTGTCCGCAGCGACTGCAGACATTTTATTTAAATGAGAAAACTTTTGCATTTTTGCTTCACATTCTACCTGCAGGCCTTTAGCCTTGGCCACACATGTAAAGTCTTGCATGATCATAGGGCAGTATCCTCAGGAGAAAATAGGTGTGAAAGGGGTTTAGGAACATTGTACAAAGCATATATGAAGATTATTCATAGGCTTGAAGGCTAACATTTGTGTAATGTCTAATCAAATCAATAGGCGATTGGAGAAATGTGATGGGGGTGGGTAAAAGTTTAAGCTCTAGAGAATATAAAAAGAATATACCATCTGGGGGTAAAGGTGGCATCATCTTCTGTAAATATCTCTGGAAGTTTAGGATAGGAAGAACACCCAATGCTGTGGAAAAATAGATTCTCCGTTTTTCCCCCTGCTACTGGAGAGCATCAAGCCCAAGATGTCCACAGCATTATAAGCAAGGTTGCCAGCTCCAGCCTTCAGGAGCTTAGCAGAGGCTTTTTCTGTATACAGCTCATATTGAGGACCTTACTTGCTGTTTGTGTTTATCTGCTAATTTGATTGTAAGTGGTGCTTTGTCAGGGACCAGAGAGCTATGACTAACCCTGTCTAAAGATGACACCCACCAGAGAAATTGGCCTTGGGGAAAACTGTTTATGACCACAAAGCAAGAGGACAACTGTCCTTCTGTTTTGTTCTGTATTACATTATCCAGGCAAAGGACATTTACTGAGCTGAGAAGATGGCCAAATTGGGGCCAAGTATAGGAGTATGATTTGATCAAGAGACGTTGTACCCATAAATTGACAAGTTGTTAAATTGAAGAATACAAGAAAGGTAAAGGAAAAGAAATCAAGAGCTGGAGGTGTGGCTCAAGTGGAAAAGAACTTGCCTAAGTAGTAGGGCTCAGGGTAAAAAGAAATCAATTTAAAAAGTTTTCGTTCCTTATTGCTTCCAAATACTTACGTTTATTCTTATTTTGTGGCTTTATATTTTTTCTGCTATGTAAAAACAAAATAGCCTCTCAGATCTTTCTTTAATCCTGATAAAGGTATGGAAAAGAAAAAAAAAATGAACTCACATTACATAAATACCAGCAAGAAGTTCTATGGGTCTTGACCTATTTGTAGCAGAGGACATCCATGAGGTTATACTGGCCAGTGAGGGAGAACACTCCCCCTCCCCTTCAGGTGAACACCTGAGGAAACACTTCCATGCTTTGGCAAGCCTCAGATCCGGATCCCTGTGATCTCTTCCCCCACATTCTCTTCCCCCTTCTGCGTTTGAACTCATTAACCTATTGACTGAGACCTGACTTTATTTTTCTATTTCCTTGAATGGTTCTATATTTTCTTCCTACCTGTGCAGATACAACAGGCTGGATTTTGTTTTTTCCTCAAATTCTCCTTCACATTTGTCTCTGATTTTTTTTTTCCTCTTCCCTTTGCTCAGATCATTTCACACTGCAGTATGCTATTTAAGGCTGAAAGGGTTTTGCTGTGTAGTTAGTGTGAAGGACTCTAAGCTCAATTTGCATTGTAAGTGCTAGCTGCAGGCATGTTTATCCAGCTAAGCATCTCTCTTTCCCTATCTTTCTCCTTTTCTTTCAAAAAAAGAAGGCTGGCTACACATTTGCTTAAAGATGTTAACATATTTCCAATGATTTTTTTTAAATTTTGGGTATTAAATGTATTACCTTCCTTTACCTTTTCCTATTATTTCTTCTTTCCTAAAGTTAACACCTTTGGGTATTTTCAGTGTTCCAAGCTCTATGCTGAGCCCTTTCTACTGTAACATTTATATCCAAACCCTGTTAAGTGGGGTACTCACTGATGCAACCTAGGCCAGGAGATGTTAATAATTTACCAAGGTCACGATGCAGTGATAATGTAATCTTCAGATTCAAGATTGTCTGAAGCTCATGTGCTTTTATGAAGTTCTGTGCTGCCTGGTCCCCCTTTAACTATCTCTGCTTCTACCGGAAAGATCACAAAGATTTTAAGTGTATCTGGAGTAGAATTCTTTCAAGAGATAATTTACAAATGTCTGTTTGGGGCTATATAGGGAGTTGGAATGACTACAAACTATCAACCTGATAGTTCCATTGGCCTTTTGAAACAAGAGGCTCAAGGTTTCTTAGGCAAGGATTCATTTGTCAAATCTCTCTCATCTATGTGTGGATATTTTTCCCCCTGTATTTTTAGGTTTCTGTAAGATCTCCCTAAAACCCTCTCTCCATAACAGGCGTTTTCTAGGTTAATCTCACATTTTCAAGTAGGGACAAGAATAGTCACATAAACGTAATGTTTTAAAAATAACTATTCTGCTCTCAGTTTCCTTGGCTATAAAATGGAAACAGTGTCTTAAGAAGAATGTTTTGATATGGAGAAATCACTAGGGATATTATCTAATACAAATCAGACTCCAAAGCCAGGTGTGGTGGTGTTTGCCTGTAATCCCAGCTACAGGAGCCAGGGACATGAAGATGAGAGTTCCAGGCCAGCCTAGGCAAGACATTATAAATATAAAATGAAATTAAATATGATAATAAAATAATAAGCTGGGAGCATATCTCAACAAAACTCAAAACAAAAAAGATCAGTGCTCAACAAACTATAGCTACTGGCATTCCTTTCCACCATGATCACTTGTGCTATGTTACATAATAAACATGCACTCTTTCTTTCCCTCTATGTTGATTGAGATTTAGACTGTATGTTGATTGATTGAGATGGCCTTGAGGGGAAGGGACATTGGAGGTAGGTGAGTGGTCACTAAAAAGCCCCCACAATCTTCTTTTACTTATTCACTAGCAATGGATCTTGCCATTTAGTAATCGCCTCAGTGTACCTGCTAGTTCTTGGCCACAAGTAAGTTCCATCCTTCTTCAGAGTCCTTAATGAATTGTCCTGTGTGCACATAGTAAAGGAAAAACAAGCTAACTTTTTTAAGCTATAGATTGAAGGCCAGTGATTGTATCTCAGTGGTAGAGTCCTTATCAGCTGTAAGGAAGGCCCTAAGCTTCATCCCCAGCACCAAAACTAAATCACTGATTGGTTTTGCCTTTAATTCCTTCTACTCATATCAATTGTCTTTTTTTGCAGAGTTGACACAGCACATTCCAGTAGGGACCTGGTCTCTGTCTTCAGGGAGCTTTCCATCTAGCAGGGAAAATAGAGACATGAGACAAATAATTTTGCAAGTAAATAAGTAGCTATACATTGTGTTATATGATATTCGGGAAAGGTCCAGGTGCCTTGAGAATATAGATATAACATGGAAAGGGGGGTATAGTTTAAATAAGTTTCAGGGAAAGTATCTCCCGCTATAGTTTAAGTTGAGAATTAAAGGAGCCGTTCTGAATTAAGAAGAGATTAAGAAAGGTGACTATGGAGGAAGAGTGAAAAGGAATAAAATTAGACTGGAGCCTGTAGTTTAATTTAGAATAATTAGTGGGAGGAAATGGTGATAGTAATATGATAACACATATATATATATGATTTTAATGAAAAATTCCAAGTGATCTATAGATATTCACTATACTAGGGTTCAAACTCAGAGCCGCCTTCTTTCTAGGCAGAGGCTCTACCACTTGAGACATTTCCCCAGCCTTTTAGTTTTATTTTTAAGATAGACAGTTTTTGTAGGGCTGACTTGGACTTTAATCCTCCTTTTTTCTTTATTGAGATAGGGAACCTGCTAATATTTTTCCCAACCTGGCCTTCAACTATCCTCCCAATTCCCACTTTCCCAATAGCTGGGATTACAGGTGTAAGCCTCTTTGGCTCAGTAAATTGTCTGCCTGCTTGAAAATTTTTTTAATGTTGGGGTAAAAAGAGGCTGAGAGATATTTAGGGACCAAATCATGTTGAACCTCCTTGACCACAAGGAATTTGGAATTTATCCAAAGATGGATCGAAAGCCATTAAAGAATTTTGATGAAAGGAG